GAGTGTACATGTAGCACAATCCAATTAAATAATCAACTCAGGATAGCTAAACGTTAGAATGATGACTTTCAGACAGAATGCTTCTAGAATTCTAGAAATTTTGTAAATTATATGCTGCTGAATCTAAAAGATTAAATCAAAATACAATAACTAGGAAGAAAAAAGTGAATCTCTTTTGAAGCACTAGCTCAACTAATTCCGGTGTCATTGGCTCAATATAAGTTCTATTTGCCATATCAGGGTCAGTCATTATAGTTGCAGGATTCGAATTGATCAAGATAACTTCATAGCCCTCTTATTTTAGGGCCTTACAAGCTTGTGTTCCCGAATAATCAAACTCGCAAGCCTGTCCAATGATAATCGGACCGGCTCCTGGTAAAATCTTCTTGATATCAGTTCGTTTCCCCCCATTTGTCGAATCCTCGCTAGCAATTTCACACGACTTCGTGTCAAATGCAGAGATTGAAAGTTCAAATTTAATGTGCTCTTCTTTGATCGTATATTTCTAGGGTTAAAAACTCGAGGAAAAAGGTTTGGTCCCGGTAAAAAAAGGATTTGTTTGAACTAGCTTACGAAAAGTATTATTACAGTGATGCACACAATGACCCATGTTCTATCACTGAATATCTACAACCTTTTTTCTGCGCCCTTCTTCTTATTTTTTCGTCAAAATTCAACAGCTGCACAGAGAAACAAAGAATCTCAAATTAGTACACAAGCACATAACGGTATGTTGGTCTCTAGTGAAGCAAGTGATTTAAAAAGAAAAATTGCAGATTAATGATAGGGGACAGACACTCCCCAACTTAGACACAGACGCACTGTACTGGTATTTAGGCAAATGTTGGCAGGGGCGGAGCCACCTGGGGTCTATGTGGGGGCAGTTATTTTGCGCCTGTCCAAGCAATTCTATCATGTTCACTTAGAGGGAGAGTAGAGATTCGAAACCTTCATCAATTGTGAAAGTGTTGAATCTGCTTTCCTCATTTCATAAATTATTTTATAGTTGAAGTGTCTATTGAACCCTAAATTCTTACAAACCCAACTGTAAAGTGATGGTGACAAGGAGAGTAGATTGGATATCTCATTCGAAGAATGAACATGAGGCTTATAAAAGAAAAAAAATCTCATAGAGAAGCTGTCTTCAAAATGATTTTATAACTAAACGAATTTTATGTTTCTTCAAACGATATCTTTCAGCCATCGTATAAAACCAAATTCGTGAAATGCTTCGTAATTTTGAGATTTCTCTCTTCGTCCCCTGGTTTCCTTCTATTTTCTTCGTTTTTGCTTGTTTTATTTTATTACTCAAGCTTTTGAACAAAATTAACTTTTCAACATTTAAATAGACGGATCCCAGAACTACTCGTGCATTAATAGCAAAAGCTTCGACCACAATGTCTCGGATGAAAAGCTAGAGACCAAATTGTTTCATACCTTATAAGTCAATTACCAATTATCCAATTTTCTCTTAGTCGTATACGTAAGATTTCTAAAGGTCAGCCAAAGATCCTTACCTCGAAGAAAAGAAAGGAATATATTGTTTATACCAGGTTAATCATTTTACACGATTGTTTCTTGAATCACAAAGAAATCATTTTGATCCATACGAGGTAAAAATGATTTAACCAACAAACCGTGATGTGTACTTCGTAGTAATCGGACAAATGCTCTTCATGTGCGGGTCGTGCTCTCCTTTATTAGATTTATCAAAGTGTAAATTTAATCAACACTCGTTGAACTTTAATATTATCACTTATCTTTAACGGGTTACCCCTATACTCACTCATCTTTTCATATAAATACTCATCTACTACTCATTTAACTTCTATCTCTCCGAATGGACAAAAAATACACGTGGAGAATAGAAATTCATACGCGGCAAATATATTGTATTAAATCTTGATAACTTGGAATGGAACCCACGACATTTCAATTCACATCTCTTCACCTTGCCGCGGCTTTTCATATCTGACTTGTATGGTGTTTTTCGACAATCAATTGCTAGTGCTGGTGGTGGTGATGAGGCTGTAAATTCAATGGAGAGGGTCATCAAGCAAGCTCTGAAGAAACCGTCTTCGCGGACGCCTTCCCTTGATGAAATTCCATACGCTTCCCCTTTGAAGAAATTTCAGCAAGATAAAAATTGTGTGGATAGATATAAAGGATTGAAGAAATTATGATGGGATAGATATATAAAAAAATGGTGTTGATTTATATTATTAAAATCATAAATACTACAATTATTTGTTATTAATTCCTACAATTAGATTATATACAAATATCGATTTAAAAAAATCCTAAAAATTATCTGACTTTTTATTTGATTCCAATTCAATCTCAACTTATTCATTGAAGTCATCGTTCTTGTCGTTCAGTGCAAAATTATTTTCGTCGAGCTTCCTTATTTCAACTCGAAAATTTCTATTACCTCTTGTAGATGATAAGATATTTTGTTAACTCCATCCTCATCATCACAACCATCAATAATTTCAAAATTGTGCATTACTAGCATCACTTGCTAGTAAAATAGAGGAAGATCAAAGAAGTAAAACTAGAGGAAGACCAAAGAACGAGACTCGGGCTTGACATATATATATAGTTTGCAATTCTACAAAAAAATTGTTTTGATTTTTTATTTTTTAAACATCAAAATCCTACAAATTGTTGTACATAATTCATAGATTGGATTATTTAGGCTAATTTGATTTGTTAAGTAATAAAAATGAGTTGAGATTTGTTAGGCTAATTTTGACACGATTTTTAAATGCGCATTTTTGTGTTTAGTGTGCATATGTAGTCAACGAAATGAATTGATCGCATTATCATGCACACAACCAATATGTGAGACGTCTTGAAAACGTATCTAGAGTATGTGGGTATATGCGTGCATTTTAGAATACTACGTAAATATATATAACTTCTGTTAAAATTAATTTTGTAATATATTTTGATAGAAGTTCACTGTGTGATTTGAAAAGTTGTGAATTTCATTAATTAAAAGTGGGCATAGTTTTGTGTGGATGTAAATTGTGGCTCTCAAACGAACCCTCTCACATTTTTCCCTCTTCCTACGAAAATCTGACACTTCGTTTGTGCGTTTCACATTCAAACCTGTCTAATTTTAATCCCCAAATAGGCAGATAGTGTTAGCATTTTACCTTACTATTTTGATTCAGAGGTCAATGTCATATTGACATTTTGTACTGCATAGGTCAATATAGGGAGGCACCCCTGTTTTTAGCTGGCTTTCTTGATCAGATCTTGTGTATGGATTTTCTTTCTGATCCTAGATTTCGAGTGTGATTTGATGGGTGGGTCGTCTCAAAATCTTGATTTGTGGTAAAAGACTACATCTTTTTGTTGGTTTGATCCAATCTGAGTGATGAGCTGTCTTGGATTATTGAATTGGTATTGAACAGTGGAACTGAAGACACAGGTGAAAGATGCGGCGACGGGCGGCCGATTACCGGCGCCCGGCTCGAAGGAGGTTGTCATGTTGGATCTGGGGGCTTCTTGTAATATTTTCAGTTGCAGGTTTTGCTTTGTTTGTTCTTCATCATAATCAGCACCAGGAGGATCATGTGGAGCAGACTGCTTTAGTAAGTATAGAACCAAATTATTTCCTGATTGCTTTGTGTTCCTTATTATTTCCTTTAATCTTTCCTAGATTGTGTATAGACTATTTCCATTTTGGGTTGAATGTTTTACCTATTTAATGGAGTAGAAAAACTCCCAAATAAATATTTAATAAGATACTAGGGAACTTTTCTAGCCTTCAGATGCTGCATACTGCAATGTTCAAATAGATATTAACCTTTCGATTTCGTTGTTTGGGGTTCACAGCAATATTTCCATGATCTGGGGAGTTGATTCTTCCGCAGTTATCACTACAGCACCGTGGGATGTTTCTCATAATGTGTGCCGTTGTTTTTTGTTAATTGCTTTTATTCTAGAGACTAATAATAGCTACCTACGAGATAAGCTAGAATGTAGCTTAGATTATGTTTTAGTTGCAGTTAGAGCAAAAATAGGAAATCTTAGATTCATTCTATAAACATTATTGCAATCGGCTGTCTGGAGGTTTTTGGAAGCAGTCATATCAATGAGTCTTTGGGGCGTTGTTAAGAACTCAAAGATATCTTGTGGGCTACTACTTACAGTGTACTGCCTAATTGTGAGTTTCGACATTTACATATTCTTCTAGGTTTGAACACTCTGGCACCAAGGTTGGTAAAACTGTTCATTTCAATATTGCTACAGGTCTTCATCTTCGGTATCCAAGGACCAAGAATCCATCTATATACAATGTTCCCCTATTCCGGCGATGGAATAGATGGAACTAAATCAAAAAAATGGACATTTGTTCAAGATGAAGTCTTAATTGGGCCTGTAAGGTGTTATATAAATTTGAGTTCAGCAATGCTTCAGGTTTAATAGAACTTTCGGGTCGGTAATGTTTTAGGTGTTGTATAAATTTAGGGCTGGCAATGCTTCAGATGTTACATGGAACTTCTACTGCAATACATAAGCATATAGACTTTGTCGTCCAGTATCAGGAGCGCTTTTTAGCTGTCTCCTTAACTCTGTAGATTGAATTGAATATACATGTACAGAAAACTTGTGTGGACGCATGTTGCTACTGGATTTTGACCAGAAGCATCATGACATGAAGTGAACGAATGGTGCATCGTGTACAAAAATGAAGTACTTTTCTCTGTGTTCCTTATACTTTAGATAAATAGGGGTCAGAAGACTTTGCTGGAGTCAGTTTTCTGAGTTTGTTATTTAAGCTTTTTGAGATGGAAATACACAGTTCCCCTTGATTCGTTGTTCACCGTTCCCCTTGATTCGTTGTTCAAATTTATCAAGACTCTGTTTGTCGTCGGCGGTTTGACTGCCACCAGAATCATCGTCAGTCATCAAATTTAGACAATTTCCTTACTCTGATACCAATTTGGTGCGGAAGTGTATGTGAAATTCTTATAATAAGAATTATGTAATAAATAAGAACAATATTTGAACAATCATGTCTTGTATATATTGAATAATAATTTATTGTTGTTGAAAAGCTTACAATGTCTCTATAATTATAGACAAAATTATTCCATAATCCTATTAATATAAGGAAACTACAATAAAGAAACTAAAAAATCCTAATCTTAAAGGAATTAGAAATCATATTCTAATTAATATTAGAATAAAAAGATAAAGACTTATTTCAATTAGACATCTTATTATAAATATCTGATCCTAATTTTATTTACAATTGGATTGTCCTACATCATAATGCTAGATTTATAAGATGATCTAGGGCAACTAGATTCTTAGTAACTACCAGAGGCTATGTTATTTTTGGTCTAGTCCTCTCTTGTTTACACGTTTTACCAAGATCACACCACTCTTATGAGCCAGAGCCTCTCTAGATCCTTACGCAAATATCACAATGACCTAAATCGTCCTTCCCTCAATTTATCCTCTGTCTGCGCTACCCACTTGCTGACGCATATGCTAATTTCTTATTCTATCATTTTACTACGCACTTTTTAGCATTATCATTTCTGCTACATTCATCTAATATGCACTGTGTCCTTTAATAGTTCAACACCTCAATATCATAAAGCAAAACAGGTCTATCACTATAGAATGTCCTCTTTAACCTTGGATCTTGTTGTCACACAGGAGTCTGGATGTGGTCACTGTTGTAATGTAATACAAGAGATTATGGGGCAGATGTTTGAGCATACAAAAGAGAGAAGTCCTGTAAGATACAGAAGCAAGATTCTTCCAGTTTAGTTAGTTACATTATATTCACCTGAGTGAGAACAGAAAGTTGATTTTTCTTTTGCTTTGCTTCATTGATTAGCTTCTTCCCTGGAGGCAGAGGTTTCAACAATATCTTCCTTAAGAGTGAGTGAATTTAACTTGTTTTTGTCCCAACCTATTGAGAACTCATGAATATTGTAAGATTAATACGTGTAATTATGTCATTATTTCTAAGGATCTAGAAAAGAAACTAGAGGAGACGTTAAAGAAGAGAAGAGAACGTATTGTTCTTGTAACTAAAACTTGCGAAAGGGAGAAGAAGGAAAGGAAAGGAAAGTACCCATTCATCCTCCATCTGCTTGTATTAAAATATTGGAGTTTCGGTCATCAGCTCTTCAAATTATGTCATCTTTTTATAACACCTTCTCACATTTCAGAGTTTCCCCCTGGATATTGCAGTGTTCTTTGCGTTAACTGAAAAAGGGGAAAGACACTTCGAAGTATTTGCCCGACTTATGTGACCAAATCTTGTCAAGATGATTAGCTATTATTCCAAAGCCAAGTTGTTGATAATTCTTTTGAAACTAAGGTTTTCGCCAAGGCTGGAGTTGATAAGAAGACACGGATTACTCTGAAGGTTGTCTACATCATAGAAGATGCAGACCAGGAATCAGTAGAGCAAATTCTATTTGAGATACCTAATCTTTATAAATGGTGCATTGGAATTGAGGGTTGCAGCTTTAAAACAGAATAAGTATAATCATTCTTCTACTCAGGCAGTAGATTCACGATAAGGCTGATGTGTCTTTCAACGTTGAAGAACATTGAAATTTCTCTAGTCAGATTCCCATCTGAACAAAGTTGATGGAGATTTGTGTAAAGTTTCTAAGGCTGGATTAACCCGTTTAGATGAATGATCACCGGAATATGTTCCTGGTTAACCAACAAAAAGAAAAAGTACTACGCTGTAAGAGAGTATCTGGTAGGTTTTGATGCTGAAGTAGTTGAAACTGGAAAAACGTTTCCACAGATAATGCATTGAAGATGCCTCTGAAGGCAGCTGATTTGCAGTTTAGCTCTTCCAATGCTGGGTCTGAACATTTTCTTGACAAATTTCCCTTATTGGTGACGTTCAGTGTGCAATAAAATCTCTTTGCCAAGAGAAAAATACCAAAAAATATGATTTATCTAAATTTCAGCTATCTTACCATAAATCTATTTGGTGATAATATGTTTATTACACTAAGATCTTTCTCAAAACATAAATTAGCATTAATAAAATCTGAAATATTTATGCATTACTTCAATAGGCAATGTATGTAGCTTTGTGTATCCATTTCATTGTTATCTTGATTACTTGTCATGATGCTTTAAACACTAGACGAGCATGGTTTCATGTATTTTTATATAACGATGATTTTCTACTGGTTTTGATTGTTTATCATTCTTTAACTTAGTCATTTCTTTGCCAGGAGACGAATACTAAAAATGAAAGGGTTGTTCACAAGCATTTAAATTTTACTGAAGAAATTTTAAGTGTTCGATCATACGCCAGACAATTAGCAGAGCAAATGACCCTTGCCAAAGCTTATGTGATTATTGCAAAGGAGCATAACAATTTTCATCTTGCTTGGGAGCTTAGTTCAAAAATAAGAAGTTGTCAATCCCTGCTTTCAAAGGCTGCAAAGAAGAACGAGCCTGTATCGTTGGATGATGCCGGACCAATCATTAGAAGTCTCTCTTCCCTCATTTTTAAGGCGCAAGATGCATATTATGATATTGCAACCACTATGATTACAATGAAATCACATATTCAAGCGCTTGAAAAACTTGCCAATGTGGCTACTGTTCAGAGTACGGTATTTGGTCAATTGGCTGCAGAATCAGTGCCAAAGAACCTTCAGTGTATTTACATTAAACTCACTGCCATTTGGCTTGAGAAAAATTCACTACGGGAACTTGCGGATGAGAGGAGGAACTCTCTGCAACTAGTCGATAATAATCTTTATCATTTCTGCTTATTTTCAGATAACCTTCTGGCTGTTTCGGTGGTAGTTAATTCTACTGTTTCTAATGCTGATCATCCGAAGCAGCTCGTATTCCACATTGTAACGAATGGAGTGAAATACGGGGCAATGCAGGCTTGGTTCCTTGGTAACGATTTCAAAGGGGCTACATTAGAAGTTCAAAATATTGAAGATTTCTCTTGGTTGAATGCTTCTTACTCTCCGGTTTTAAAACAGATAAATGATGAAGATTTACAGAGATCCTACTTTGAGAGGACGAAGGATATGAGTCTTGAACCGAAGTTACGTAATCCTAAGTACGTCTCTCTGTTGAATCACCTGCGATTTTACATCCCGGAGATTTATCCTCTGCTCGAGAAGGTAGTTTTTCTTGATGACGATGTTGTTGTTCAGAAGGATTTGACCCCACTTTTTTCATTGGATTTGCATGGTAATGTGAATGGGGCAGTCGAAACTTGTCTTGAATCCTTTCACCGTTTTTACAAGTACCTCAATTTTTCGAACCCAATTATCAGCACCAAATTTGATCCTCAGGCATGTGGATGGGCATTTGGGTTGAATGTTTTTGATCTGATTGCTTGGAGAAAGGAAAATGTGACTGCGCTTTATCATTATTGGCAGGAACAAAATGCTGACGGATCACTATGGAAGCTCGGCACTCTTCCTCCCGGATTTTTAGCTTTTTATGGATTGACAGAGCCACTTGATCGGCGATGGCACGTCTTAGGATTGGGTTATGATCTGAACATCGATAACCATCTGATCGAGACTGCAGCCGTGATACATTTTAACGGTAACATGAAGCCGTGGCTAAAGTTAGGAATAGGCAGGTATACACCTCTATGGGAACATTATATGGATCAGACTAACCAATATCTGCAGGATTGTTTCACAAATTAATATATATGATACTTCCAAGTCTTGGGAAGCTATTCGATGGCTTATATTTATTTCTTAGAATTATCATTGCATTACTACAGTGCTAGAAGTAGAAATTTTTGACAATCTTTTTATTTATTTATCTTGGAAGGAGAATTCCTTTACACACTAGAAAGTAAACATGTATCAGATAAAGGTTGTAAGTGATTTCATTTTTGGCTGATGAGATTCTGCTCTTCTGCAAATTGTAGTATCATTGTTTTAAGCACTTCAATTCTCTCTCAATTCTTGTGTTGGGTTCTTTCTTTAGTTTTAGACAGTATTGAGGAAGGAATATAAATTAAATTTCTATTCATTGTATGGCTTTATTCACTACCGCGTACTGAATGTATCCTAATAGTTTATGTTGGATGGTTTATGTTTTTGACTTGGGAAATAGGAAAATAAATTTGAATTGGTACGTTAACTTTATTATTGATAATTATATAGGCTTGTATGCTCTACATCTAACTCCCATTACCCTGAAAAGTTAAGTACCACACTGCCTCAAATTATAAATGGAAGCATGGTTATAGATGCGAAAGGTCCCCGTAGAAGCCTCAAGGTGAGGAGAAAGATGTCATCGCTGAAATATGCAATCAAGGGGAATCAGTTCAAAATTCGACACGATATAGTAGTATCAATTCAGAGAAAGTCAAAGAGGGAAATGTAGATTCGAGCTGGCTGCAGTTTGCAGAAGAGAATTTATATCGTCTTCTTTTTTCGCGAAGATGGAGGAACCCATATAAATGATGGAAACTTAGAAGAATCTGATGAGGCTCAAAATGCTAACAGTGCAAGTTCAAGACGTATTAACGGAAGAGTCGTGCTATTGGGTCCGGCTCAAGTCAGCCCCCCTCCAATAGAGGGGCGCCACATGGGCGCTTTGTTCTTGAGCCTGGCATTGAGCCGGGCCAAGAAGATTTTCCCTTAACGGAAAGGTTAGGCTCTCATTTTCTGCTTAGCTTTCTATCCTACGCACAACCCTTTTCTACTATAAACTTCATTTAGATTGCAAAAGTAACTTATTTTCACATTTCCCACTTAATTTCTTGAAGAATCTCACGTGTATAGAATTGGAAGGGATATGGTGAATAAAGATGAAAAAGATGTTAGTCAAACAACTGAGGAAGACATAGCAAAACGTGAAGTGCCTCTCAATCTTTAGGTCTCGTCTATAAATTAGACAGGAAGAATTGCATAGCTGATAGCACTTAATGCTATAGGAACAGAAAATATACTAAAAAATTTGTAAATTACACCGTCGAGTTAAGTTTAATACTACATACCAAACAAGTTTTTATGACACTGCAATGTACAAAACTAATTACGCCTTAGCATACACAAGACATGTCATGTCACCGTAAAGATTCGTATCTTTTATATTTCTATTAAGTTCAAACAAACCTAAGAGTTTTATGTGATTTGAGAAAACAAATTAGAGTAACGACATAGTATTGACGTGGATACTTTATCACATGTTGATCAAAGAGATTAACCGTGTTGAAAGAGAGTATCAAGTCGTGTGATTCTAACCAATCAGATTGTAGCACGAGTTCTTTTGCCTTCCCACTGTTAGTGTTAGAAACATGTATTCATGTTTCACGATGAATTCTTGAGCTTCTGATAATGATAGCATGGTTATGCTGCAGGCTGGGGTGGGAATTGTAAGCAGCCTTGTGCAAATGCCAAAATCACAAGGCAAACACAAAAGTCGAGATCTACCTCGTCACCGTTGTAGATTCTGAAAGTTGCACAAGAAATCAAGATACAAGGATCGAACTGAGTCTGCACTTTCCCTGTCAAAATTTGTTATTCTTTGGGCACTTTGATCAAACATATTTTGTGATTCTGGAAACTATATCAGAGTAATCAGTTTTGCCAAGAGTGTTTTATCTGCTTGTGGGGGTGTAGTTTCAATACCTGACAATTCTGTTCAGCTAAGCTTAGAAGTTACTTTCAAGTAACTTTCACAAACTGTCTTTTAGACTCTTGGAAGTCACTAAAACAGTATAAAATCTTTACTCAGGAAAAGTATGTTCAATTTTTCTAAGCTTAGGCAAACATGAATAAGCTACATTGTCTGTGTCCTGCATTCTGGATATGCATTGCAACTATCGGTTCCATGAGCAAGTTGCAAGATTGGGTGTCAGTGTTCAATTAAGTGAATCAAGAAAAATTAGTAAACGAACGGTTGGAATAAATCTGTCAAAGCTATACTATGATATAAGAACACAAGTCTTTACTTCAAGTTTTGGCGCCGCCACCCATTTATGAAATCGTGCATCCTTAGGGAGAAAAATTGAATATGAAATGCACGTAAGAAGAATGCTGAAGACATAATTTAAAAATATAAGTTCGACAATCGTTAAATTTAAAGCGAAAGTGGCTCAAAATCAAGATCAGCATATTCTATACAACACATGCTAGCATATCGAAATGAGACAACGTTTGATCAAGATGAGGTCTTGAGGAGCGTCTCTTCAACGAAATTCAATAACAAAAATTATTCACTATGCAGCACCCTTTGAATTGAGTATAAAGATGAGGCTGGCATTAAAGATCTAATATTCATCAAATTCACTAATTTTTCTTTCTTTTTTTGAAATCCAAAACAGATAATCTCATTGAATTAGATAACTGCAAACAGCAGACGACAAAAGGATGGTAAACAATGAACCCAAAAAACTGACTGCAGCCATAAAAGCAGTAGTGGCGAGCTCGTGGACCACTCTGTTCCAATTGCAGGGGACATAACGACAAGGACCACTACTCAAAGCCAAAAATAATTCAGCAATTCGATTTTCCTAGAGGGAAGGACTGACTTATTTATCGTTTCAATGAGAACCATCGCCCGCTCCCATCTGTAGCCATACAAAGTGATAATGCCCTCTCACTCTAAGGTGATAATCGGGTGACTGATAAGAATAAGCGACTTATGCGCCCAAGTTCCAATGAGTGGATTTCTTCTTTATAAGCAAATAGTTCTCTATCTTTATCGGTCCCTGGACAATCGATGGGCCAATCATTCTGCTGGCATCTCGCATTCACGACCTTGTTTGACTGCCGCTTGGATCAGAGAATCAACTCATTCCGGGAAAAGAAAACGAGATGAGAGACTTTTGAACTGGTGCAACCAATCGCACTAATTTACTTTTGAGATTTTTTATTTTCTTTGACGAGACCTCAAAATTAAAACAATAAAGTTACCATATATTAAAGGCGTAGAATGGAGAGAGATAGAGATTAGTTACACGAATAGCATTAGACCTCCACAAAGTTCAAATATTCATTCCATTTACCCCAACACAAATTATAGGAGAAACCAGAAAGGATAAATAATCACTTTGCAACCTGACAAACAATTCGGCCCTAAAGGCCAATTGAAAAATGTTTCAGTAACAAATCTGGGGAATTATATTTTTTGTTTTATAACTAATGATTGAAGACGTAATCTAGCACTGGTAACTGCAGCAATAGACCCTTCGTCTTGCTTTGCTTTTGCAGCAGTAACAGCAGCAATGTAAGCTTCTCTTGCAGCCTCCATTTCCTGCATCTCAGTTTCATTCAAATCATCCTGCATAAGCAAGTTTCAATTGAAGGTAAATTATGAAAGAATCAGTAAACATCAACACACAGGGCATTGTGTGCTAAGCTTAAAAATAAATAGAAGTTACCTTTTGTTTTCAAGCATGGTCAGGTGTTTTACTTTTCCAATTTTAGAGCAACAAAATTACTTATCTGGAAAGTAAGTGTTACTTTATTGTCAAAATAAGTACCTTATCTATTTTCCATTTTGATCGATGAAAAAAAATAAACTTATTTATTTATCTATAAGCGAACTTTTTAAGCTAAGCCAAACATGCTCTAGACGGAAAGGCATCGTAAGTAAACTTTTTAAGCTCAAACATGCTCTCTATCACAATTCTGATCTAGAGGATAACATAGAGGAATCATTTTTGAGATTTATTTCACGGGGAAAGGGGGAGAAAGAGAGACCACAAGTGATCAATAACTTACTAAATCGTGATTCTCATCTAGAGGATAAGAGACATCATCATAGTCTTCAGCAGAAAGGGAATCACTCTTTGTTAAGCCTTGAATTAATAGCATCATTGATGAAATATCTCCTTGCACCATTTCTAGATCTTCTTGGAGCTTCTCCACTTTTTTGTTAGCAGTTGTTGCTTCCCATTGTAATTTCTCAACGGCTGCTTGCTTGTCAGCAAGCTTAGTCTGTGGATAACATATGGTAGTAACAAAAACATGAGATATATTTATAGAGAGATGAGGAGAGTAACATCTTATCGAATGACAAATTTGCCTAAGCTTCAAAAGTTTACTTATAAGTAAATAAGTTCAAAATAAACAACTCTTTCATTGGCTAAAGTTGGAAATAACTAAGAAGTCACTTATTTAGATAATGATTTTACTTACAAAATAAATAACTTTCTACTCAAAAATAAGAAAAAAATAAGTTATCCAAACATGTATGAAACCTAAGTAACTTTTGCATTTTTCTAAGCAGGAGTGAACACGCTCTATAAACGGCCTAAAACTAAAAGATGCTTTCACTAATGACTAAGCTAGCAATTAGTCTTTTAAGTCAGAGCAGAGTATAAACAATGACTTGATTTTCAAACTTCACCCTCTAAATATAGAAATCGAGACATTTCATCAGATAGGCAACAAGTGCTAGATATTAAGTTGAGAATCTATATTTTCAACCATCTCACCGTTGTTAGTTGTTATATTTAATTATACTCTCAGCACAAGTGAAATATTCAGTAATGAACCTGTAAATACATGCATAGATGTGCGTGCAGATAGACACCGAGTCAAAACCATTTTTTTTTTCAGGTTTCTTACTATTATAATCACATCTGCAGCAGTTTAATGTTAGATCTCTTAAATCTCCACTCAAATATGAAACAAACAAGACCTTTTCGTTCTAATTTCTAAGGAAAGGTGAATGGTAGATTGAAAACTTATTATTTCATGCAATTTAAATTCCAATAAAACTTCCTTAAAAGATTAGGCTGCTGGAAAAATACATGTTCACCTCTCAACAATAAGAAAAAATTATATTGCCCTGTCACCAACATTCTTTCTATCTCCATCCCTAGCAGTTTCAATCAAAGAAACAAGGTAGTGTTTGGAGAATATTAAATTAGTTTTAAGAGGTGCAACTATTTGTGATACTCAAACTCTTCAAAAATGGTGAAGTACTTGCGTCAACATCACATAACACGGATACTGACGCGGGTTCTGGTTGGTGATTCAGTTGGAAAAGGCAAATGGGTGCGGAAGAAAACAGTTTTACTCATCTTTTATAGGTGGGCTTGGCTCACCTTTTGTTATTGTTATTTTAGAATTGGATTTAAATGATTTATTGTTATACTGTTTTGTGTTATTTTGGCATTGAATTTTAATAAATTTCTATAAAAAGAATTTTAAAAAAAAACTGTGTAAGACATATAATCATATCAAAAATTTGGATCATTTTTAACCATATCGCTGTATCCTAAAATTTAAAAGGAGGATCCAAGTCCTAGATATCTACCCATATCCGACACCTAGCAACATAGGTAACTATTACCAAGATAAACTGCGACTTAATGAAACATGTTTTTCAACAGTTCAATTTAGGCTAAAATGTTGACCTTATAAAAAAGATGAATCCCATTAATGATTAAAATCCCTGGTAAAATGGAAAGTTACCTAAATAATAAAAATGGAAACTACATAATTGTGGAAAGAAAATCAATCAATAAAAATTCACTAAAATAAATCATTAATTACTCCAAAACCCATGATTAAAATAAGCACAAAAGTGGACAAGTGGAAACACTCGCAAATTACACTCCATCAAAACAATAAAAGAAACAAAAATGTTCCCCAATTAAGCATCAAAATCCCCAAGAAGTGAGGGTATTTATTTGAAACTACATAGCCTACAAGGCAATTAAATTTAGATGGAACTAGAAGAATGTTATCAAAAGAATAATCTAAAAATTCAAGTGTTTTCTGATCATTTAAAATATTAAAGAGAGAGGAAAAAACTTGTTTCCAGTTTGCATCTACTTTCCTTTCCCTTTTATCCTTTGGGCAAAGGGAAGGAGGATTACTATAGTATCAAATGCATACCTTCGTATCAGAAAGCTGTAGTTGACTGGACTTAATCAAAAAATCCTTTTCTGCATCCTCATTTTTAAGTTTATCAAGTTCCTTATGGATGGATGCCACCTCCTTCTCTGAAAGTTCCACTGATTTCAGAAGTTCATCTTTTTCTGAAAGCTTTCTCTGTAGATCTTCCACTTGTTCCCTAAGTGATGCCAACTCTTGTCTATCCTTTTCTGAAAACATTGGACTTGAGGAGAAAATGGAGAAATCATCAGCACATCCATCTTGGTTACTTGCCACATTTTTGTTTTGGTCCCTCTGCTTTTTTGTTGGGATTGCCTGCAGCAAAAAATTCTAACTTCATAACCCACTTTGTATTCGTGAACAGAAAATGTAACTTATGTTGCTTGAAACCATCAACAATGAAAAAACTTACGTCCTAATAAAATGCATTTTAGTTGTATAGCAGGCTTAGAAGGACAAGGGCAACACTGTATTCAGACATTCATTTATCAAAGAAAGATACTAATTAGGTTACCAAACCATACTTCTGATTTTGGTTCTCTGAAGTTGTCATCTCCAAGCTTGTAAACAACAAGGACTACGGGTGCCGACTGCTGATTGAAGATAAATATAAAAATGAGGACTTAGGTGGTTAGAACATGTTTTGCGTACTGTTCATAGGAATGGCACAATCTCGGTAGAGCATTTCAAACCATGGAGGGGGGAAACCAAAAATAGCATGGCCTATGGTTGCTAAGGATTGCTTGAAATCTTCACGTATGTCTAGCAACGAACCGAACAGGCCAACCCCAATTTTTTTGGAGAATGTTTAGCTTGATGTTGTCTAAGCTTCTCGGTAACAAGCCATCGTGTCTGTGTTTAAAAAAACATAACAGCCATTTGGTGGTTATCATTCTTGTTTAGGCAGCCATGATAAGCATGCCATCAAAAGTCATAATTCCAGTTCTCTAATACAAACCACTACTTTGCACTCAAAAACTCATATTAAATAGGAATCTATAATTAAGGATTAAGAATAAGGAAGCTAAGGCTTGGGAAAAAGAGAGAGAGGAAACGGGGGAAATACTAAGACTGAAGCATGCAATCGTGTTTGACAAGCTTAAATTAAAGTCAACTACTTATTAGTAAATTTTGTTTTCAAACATGTTTGGCCATGGTAATGTAGTAAACTTACTTTTTGTAGAAAAAACTACTTTTACTGTCCACAAGTGTAAATTACATATTTTCAATTTTGACCAAGACATAAGTACTCAAACAAGTAACTTGTTATTTTACTTGTATGAATACTTTCTTATAAGTTAGTTTTTTTAAGCTTAGCAGACAATTGCAGTGCTAGCAACACTGTGGACGCAACATGCCGGAGTATATTATTAACTCACTTACTCAAGTGCCACGACTGAAGGGATAAACTTAAATTCAGAAATGCAATCTTTTTTCAACTAGAAGTATCAGAATATTCACTTAAATCATGCGTGACAGATAATAAAAAGTGCATAAACGTGAATTTTTTTTCTTAAAAACGTAATTATCTTTCTAATTTTAATATCACATAAAAAATAAAAATAAAAAAATCATTTTTCTAGTGTTTTCAAATTTCATATTCCTTGACTTTCTACGTTACAGAATTTCAGGTATAAAGCAAGACATTGCAAAATTTGAAGGTCAGTCAACATGCACACTTCCTTCGTGGGTAATCTGTTGTCCCTCTCATCACTGGACGAGAGAGAGTAAAGTTAAATAAGTTTAAAATAAATAGTGATCAAAACTGAAAATAATTAAGTTGTCCTCTCTTGTCCCCAATTTGTATCTCACAAACAAATAGATTTTGAGTCGATAAACTAGGGCTATAGGCATAAATCAGAAAATTCAGTACAAAAAAATTCACAGTTTTAAGTAGCGCAGAACAAATAATCCAATTCTTATGTTATCATCTAAATTTTGCAAAATTATCAAAAAGTTGCTACAATAATATGCTCATTTGTTAACATAGTATAAATAATCAAACCGAAGAATGAAAAGTTACCTTCTTGTAAAGAGATTCTCTACTGGGCATCTTGGTACAGATCATTGAACCCCGTCGTGTAAATGAAGGATTCGCTTTCCGATCCTACACAATTTCCTCATACAAATTCATCAACTCCAAAAGGGGGCGGGGGGGAGAGAGAAGAAATTCCAGTTTTTTCACCTACATTTTCTTGGGAAAAAAAATAAAAATTATTAAACTAAAATTCATATAGAGAGGAAATGCATGTAAGTACAATGAGAGACTGAACAAGAGGGACCATCTCAACGAGATCGTTGAAGAGAACACGGTCGACATCGCCAGAGGCTGCAGCGGAAGCGGATGCGGTGGAAAGAGAAGAAAAAGTTCGGCTGAGAGTCGAGCGGTCGTCGGCGCCGGATAACCATGAGTTGGGATCTGAACCAAAACCTGCATTTTCCTGTAAATCTACCAAATGTTGCTGGGATTCATACATTGTTCTTGATTTTCTGGGTTTTTGAATAATTATAATGAGATCAATTCGGATAAAGTGCCAAGCAGAATATAGTGAAGTTATTTTTTTGGTTTTCAAATTGGTCTGGGTACTATTTTTTTATTCTTTCAAAATAATAATACATTATTTATGTTTGCTTTTTAACTCCTAAAAATAAATTTTTTGACGTAAAAAACTATTTATTTATCGATTAGGCCATCGAACTTTATACTTAGTGTCAGCATGACCACCCAATTTAATTTTATTTCATCCTGGTTACTCAACTTTATATTTCATGTCACCTAACCACTTAATTTCATATAACGTTTCATCATGACCACCTAATTTCATATAACATTTCACTATGACCACTCAATTTCTTTTCACTACTTTAAAAGTGGTAAAACGGTAACTTTGTATTAAATATATAAAATAAACTTTAAAAAAAAATTTATTTTAAAATAAGTTTTTATTTAATTTTAATTTTTTTAAATAAGTTTTTATTTTATTTTATTTTATTAAATAATGTCTTTTTTAAAATAACTTTTTATTTTATTTTATTTTATTTTTCTAAGTAACTTTCTTTTTTTATGTGTAATATTATTTTATTTCGAGAATGTGTGGTTAGAAATGAGTACTGTAGAAAAAAGAGAATGAGAATGAGATAAAAAAATGGGTGTCAAACGGGGGCTAAGTTTTTTGACGTAAAAAACTATTTATTTATCGATTAATAATAGGGTTAAATTCATCAATGGTCACCGAACTTTATACTTAGTATCGCATGACCACCCAATTTAATTTTGTTTCATCCTGGTTACTCAACTTTATATTTAGTGTTACCATAACCACTTAATTTCATATAACGTTTCATCATGATCACCTAATTTCATATAACATTTCACTACGACCGCTCAATTTCTTTTCACTATTTTAAAAGGGGTAAAACAGTAACTTTGTATTAAATATATAAAATAAACTTTAAAACACAAAAAAAAAAAATGTTTTCTTTATTTTAAAATAAGTTTTTATTTTATTTTAAATTTTTTAAATAAGTTTTTATTTTATTTAATTTTATTAAATAATGTCTTTTTAAAATAACTTTTTATTTTATTTTATTTTTCTAAGTAACTTTTTTTAATAAATTTTTTTTTTAAGTTTATTATCTATATATATATATATATATATATATATATACACATACATACTGTAAAGTTGTCGTTTTACACATCTTAAAATTAATGAAAACGGTGAAAAGAAGTTAAGAGACCATGGTGAAATATTATATGAAATCAAGTGATCATGATAAAAGGTCATATGAAATTGGATGACTATGGTGAGATAAGATCAAATTGGGTGGCCATGGTGAAACAAAATTAAATTGAGTGGTCATTGTAACACAAAGTATAAAGTTATGTGGCCATTGGAAAATTTAACCCGTTAATAATAGCTAATCACGGCTCTTGTCCGCCATCTTTGCACTTTTTGTACTTCTATATCAGTATTTGTTTTTCATCTTTATTGGCCCTCGACTTTAAATAGATATAAAATGAAGAATAAAAAACAATTGATTTTGAATAGTGATATGATGAGAAATGTGTGGTTGAAAAAAAAGATAAGATTATTGATGTGATAGAAAATATTATTTTATTGAAAAATGTGTGGTTGAAAATGAGAATTGATTTGCTGTTGAAAATGAGAATTGGTACCAAACATAGCCATAATGTAAAATTGTCGTTTTACACCTCTAAAAATTAATGAAAATAGTGAAAAGAAGTTGAGTGAGTATGGTGAAATATTATATGAAATTAAGTGGTTATGGTAAAATGTTATATGAAATTGGATGGCTATGGTGAGATAAGATCAAATTGGATGGCCATGGTGAAATAAAATTAAATTGAGTGGTCATGGTAACACAAAGTGTAAAGTTACGTGGTAATTGGAAAATTTAACCCGTTAATAATAGCTAATCACAGCTCTTGTCCGCCATCTTTGCACTTTTTGTACTTCTATATCTAGTATTTGTTTTTCATCTTTATTGGCACTCGACTTTAAATAAATATAAAATGAAGAATAAAAAACAAAATCTTCAGGTGGCAACCACAACTTGTAACCAAGGTTCTAAAATGCGTAATACATGATAATGCGTTTTTGTCAAGTATCAAGCATTACAAGAATATGCGTGCCTAAATGAAATATATGCGTAATCGTGTGTTTTTCAATTTTTGATATTATTTGAACTATTCTAAACTAATAAATAAAAAAGATAAATACATTCTTGGAACTTTATAAACACACACACACACACACACTCCACAATTAATTTAATTTTATACTTATTATTCATATTTCAACAAAAACATATTACTCGATATCATAAAAATTACAATTGCATTGTAATCAATTCCTACAATTAGATTAGTCACGAAAATCAGCTTAAAAATCATAAATATTATTTAACTCTTTATCGGATTCCAATTCAATCACATCTTCTTCATCCAAGCATATTCCATGTCATCCAATGCAACATCATCTTCTTTGAACTCCCTTGTTTCAATTCGAGAATTTCTATTACTTATTGTAAATTGTAAGATATTATTGTTAACCTCATCTTCATCATCACAACCGTCAACAATCTAAAATTATGCATTACTAGCATCACTTGTTAGTGAAACTAGAGGAAGACCGAAAAAGGATGCTCGATCTGGACTAAATAATTTGCAACTCTAATAAAATTTGTTTTGATTTTTGATTTTTCTGAACACCAAAACCATACAAATTACTATATATAATTCTTGGAATTGGGTGATTTGGGCTAGTTTGATATTTGTCGGGGACAATTTACTTTTTTAAGTTATAAAAATGGATTGGATTAGCCTAATACGACACTATTTATAACACAAATGCGTGCGTCTTTTTACGTTTAAATGTTTATATACGATCAACGAAATGAGTCGACCGCATTATCACGCTTGAATCCTATTTGCAAGGCATTTCGAAAACGCATCAAGCATATGCGAGTATATGCGAAATATATGCGTGCATTTTAGAACACTGCTTGCAACCCTTCATTTTTTATCCTTTCCTCCATCCCCGTGGCATCTACCATTCCCCAATTTCAAATTCCTAGTCGCCCACATTTAGAGATTGACAATGGATCAATCGCTTACCTATTCAACAAATTAACTCGTGGGAGCTATGCCCATGAATGACTCATGCCATTTCAAGTTTATGGCATAAGTCGAGTCAAGCTCGACAAGTAAAGCCCTTGGGTGGCTAGCCATATGCAAACCAGCTCGACTCAGGGGCGAACACAAGGGATGGCATGGGGTTGCATGCCCCCAGCTTTTGAGCAATTTTTTTTTTTAACCACCATTAAAATTTTTATGTTTTTGTCTCAATTTTTGAAGTTATTATGGGATGCCAAACGAAATCTAAATATTGTATTCTTAACATCATTTCAAAATGCTCGCTACTTAGTTTTCTACGTCGTTTATAGCGCGCGAAACGGCCAACTATTAACAAATGTTACGCTTGTCAAAGTAGACCGTTCCAAATTAGTATTTCGAGAATTTTGATAACATGGTAACTTTAAAATTTCTCCAAAAATCGTAGGCTAGCCAAATCTACAAATCGCCTATATCATCTCGAAACTCGTTTCAAGAACTATATCATAAATATACCGAATAGTCCAAACAAATATCGAAAACAATTAAAGATGCGTCAAATGTGCGTCTTAAAAAAAGTGTCTAACTCGTCTTTTTTTTTTTAATTCAATTATTTCATTAATATTTATTATTTTTGCGATACAAATTTCTCAATGTAATTTTCATCATTTTATTTAGAAATTTTATATGAAATATGACATAAAAATTTTTCGATCAAACAAATATCGAAAACAATTAAAGATGCGTCAAATATGCGTCTTAAAAAAAGTGTCTAACTCGTCTTTTTTTTTTAATTCAATTATTTCATTAATATTTATTATTTTTGCAATGCAAATTTTTCAATATAATTTATATCATTTTATTAGGACATAAATTTTTTTCAAAATGTTACATCCGAAAAATTCATGCCCATGTAAATTTTCAAAAGTAAAATAAAAATGTAAATTTAAATTGGTATGGTTTTTTTTGTATATAAATTTTCGAACGTAAAATTCCTCACCACTTTTTTGTAAGTTTGATTGTACTCCCATAACTCAAAATGGTTGTGTCCGTCCCTAGCTCTCATTGCCACCTCTATCAGTGTAGTATGCAAGTCTAAATCCTCTACACTTTCAGGTCATGACTATTCAATTAAATTTTTTTCTGGAAAAAAAAAAAAAAACTTGCTCATCTGAAGATCCGGTATTAATGTAGTTCTCCTTAATTAAAAAGTTCCTCATTTTCTGTAAGAAAGAAAGGCCTGCTCAGGTCATGCAACACGGTCTGGTTGGACCACAAGTCCCCAGATTTGTGCATGGGGCATGACCCAAATCAAAGAGCAACCCCACTAACGGTATTCTCTGGTTAGGGTGAGCCAAGCCGTACATTGGGAGGCGGTCCGGTCCATTATCATTTTCAAAATAATATCCAAATTTGCCTTCTTCTAATTCTTATTTGCAGATATTCATTGAAAATTGATATCATCCTCCATTTAAATTGAATTTGTTCCCTTGTTCATCTTAATCCTTTGCNATATGCCTTAGAGATTCGTGAAGTCAAGAATTCAAAGGTTCGGAAATATAAATTGAGATCCCAAGTGTTGTGTTATACATAAATTGAGGACTCTGATTGTAATTTTTCTAGACACTTTCATAATAGAATGCGAATAAAAACGAAATGGTATTTTTATTTTTATTTTTTGAATGAAATGGATTTCAATTTCAAACTGTAGGTAAACTATTGATATGAAAAGAATAGGAGACCATAAATTATAAACTAATAGTAAGTTGAGAAGATATCCGTCAAAAGCTCTTTCCCAACAAATGTCCATGGGATGGGTTGATGTCTTTCGTTGTCACA